ATCAAAACGACATCTACCTAAAGCTACCCAAGAAATAACTCCCGTACCCCATGACACCAATCAAACCCAGCCCCTCCCACTCATACATTTGTCCAGTCTCTTCTTAAAGCTACCCAAGGTCCTAGCCTCTATCACTCCACTGGGAAGACTGTTCCACGCATAAGAACATAAGAACATAAGAATGTAGGAACACTGCAGAAGGCCTACTGGCCCATACGAGGCAGGTCCTTATCAAAACGACATCTACCTAAAGCTACCCAAGAAATAACTCCCGTACCCCATGACACCAATCAAACCCAGCCCCTCCCACTCATACATTTGTCCAGTCTCTTCTTAAAGCTACCCAAGGTCCTAGCCTCTATCACTCCACTGGGAAGACTGTTCCACGCATAAGAACATAAGAACATAAGAATGTAGGAACACTGCAGAAGGCCTACTGGCCCATACGAGGCAGGTCCTTATCAAAACGACATCTACCTAAAGCTACTCAAGAAACAACTCCCGCACCCCCCAACACCAATCAAACCCAGCCCCTCCCACTCATATATTTGTCCAGTCTCTTCTTAAAGCTACCCAAGGTCCTAGCCTCTATCACCCCACTGGGAAGACTGTTCCATGCATCTACAACTCTGTTAGAAAACCAGTACTTACCTATGTCCTTTCTAAATCTAAATTTATCCAACTTAAATCCATTATTCCTGGTTCTTACCAGGTTCGACACCCTCAGTACTTTATTAATGTCTCCCTTATTTATGCCCGTCATCCACTTATACACTTCAATGATATCTCCCTTCATTCTACGCCTCTCCAGAGAGTGGAGATTTAAGGCTTTAAGTCTATCTTCATACGGGAGGTTCCTTACACAGTAAATCATTTTAGTCATTCTTCTCTGTATGTTCTCTAATGAGTCTATGTCCATCCTGTAGTAAGGGGACCAAAACTGAGCAGCATAATCTAAATGAGGCCTCACTAGTGATGTATAGAGCTGTAAAATAACTTTTGGACTTCTGTTACTTATACTTCTTGAGATAAATCCAAGTAATCTGTTGGCCTTGTTGCGCACACTGAGGCACTGCTGTCTTGGCTTTAGATTTCTGCTTACCATGACTCCCAAGTCTTTTTCACATTCTGTATGACCAAGCTCTACTTCACCTAGATTATAGCTTCGAGGGTTATTTTCATTACCAAGGGCAAGTACCTTACACTTATCCACATTGGCAATATAAACACAAATGCAGTATAATGTGATCCTTTATTGACTACGTTTCGCCCACACAGTGGGCTTTTTCAAGTCACAAACAGAACTACCTGGGGTGGAAGGAACGCGAGTATTTATAGTCCAGCTGAGGTCAGGTGAAGAATGCTGCATCTGATGATGTACCGAGTGGGGTTATAGAGTCTAAAAACTTGGGTAGCTTGGAAAGGAGATTGGATAAGTTTGTGAGCAGACCTTCTACAGTGTTCTTATGTGGGATAGCGATGAAGAAGTTTCTTGGCAAGTGGTTCAGCTATGTTATAGAAGCCACTATTCTGGTTGAAGTTGTCGGATATAGAAATAGTGATGATTCCAGGATTCTTCGGTATTGAGTGTTGTCTTCTGTGGGCGATAAAAGTCTTGAGTTTCTGTAGTTTATCAAGTGGTTGTGTGAATTACGGTGTTGTACGCAGGCATTCTTGTGTCGTCAGACCTGCTTGCGTATTGGTGTTCTGAAATACGTGTTTGGAGGTCCCTGATGTTTCGCCCACGTATAATCTTGTTGCAGTCATTACAAGGGATATGTATACCCTGCAGCAGGATGGAGGCTTGTTCCTGCCTACTACTGTATGTCCTTGATGGTCGGTGGTTGTGGAGGTAGATACTTGGAAATGATGTTTTGGCAAAGATGTTGGAAAACATGTTTGGCAATGGAGTTGGTGGGAAGGACTATGTTTTTTTCGGCAGTGTCTTTCTCTGGGTTGTGTTGAAGATGTTAATGTTCGGCCGTTCTGCAGTCTCTGATGAAGTGACGAGGATAGTGGAGTTTGGGAAAATACTTGCCCCCCCCCCCCCCCCCCCCCCCCCCCCCCCCCCACCCCCCCCCCTCTTCAATTATAGTGGTTTCTTCCTCAAGGAACTCGTTGCTGCAGTTCTGAGTGGACGCAGGAAGTAGCCTATAATTACACACGTTTGGTTATTGGTGTCGTGTGTGAGTAGAAGTGGGAAGATCGTTTTTGGTGGTGGGTTTTCGATAACTTTAAAACGAAGTGCGTGGTCAGCTTTGCGTGTGAACATCAAGGAAAAGGAAGAGTGTTGTCGACTTCTTCTTCAAGTGTGAACTGGATTGAAGGCCGACTGGTTGAGCTTGTCTTGGAGGCTGGAAAAACGTTGGAAGCCGTTTAGGAGTTATGAGGAGAATGTCGTCAACATAACGGAGCCAGGTGACAGAGAAGAATAATGGGGTGGAAACGTTCGGCTTCTAGATGTTCCACTGTATAGGTTCGCAGGACTGCACTGAGTGGC